AGATGCGTCACAAGCCAAGGAGCCAGCCTACCGCACCCAGGCCCCCTGTTTATAATCCTCGCATCTCAGACCTGGTGTTTGAGCGGTCGCTCAAGACTCCGAATATTTCGTTGACCTCTGAGGAATTATTATCCATCGCTCCGGAGGTCCGTGCGAAATATAGGGACATTGTGACACCCAAGAAAGTGCCCGCGCCGCCCGCTGTTCGACTCCAAGCCACTATACAGGAAGTGGAGGATGAAGACGATGGTCCGGAGTTGCCAGACGTGGAGCAATTAATTCACAGCGGTAGTTCAATCCGTCCTGGAGTGCTGGTGGTACCCGACCCCTATGAAATTTATCTCCGGAGTCTAGGTCCGGGGGAGACGCCGAAGCAGTTGGTCGTGGCCAAGGAGTCGCATGCTCTGCGGTCCATTATGGGGCTCATAGACAACCAGGAGAAGGTCGAGGCAATTTTAGATCCAGGTTCCCAAATCGTCGCAATGTCAGAAGCAGTTTGCCATTCTCTAGGACTTCAGTACGATCCCATCATTCAGCTCCAGATGCAGTCGGCGAACAAAACGATCGATATGTCGTTGGGACTGGCGCATAATATTCCCTTCCAGGTCGGAGATATTACCGTTTACCTCCAGATCCATGTTATTAGGGATCCAGCCTACAACATTTTATTGGGACGTCCCTTCGATGTATTAACGGAGAGTTGCATCAAAAATTTCAAAAATGAGGACCAGACGATCACGATCAACGACCCCAACTCTGGAATTGTTTCCACTATCCCGACATTTCCAAGAGGTCGCCCTCGATTTCGAGGCCCCGCCTCTAGAGCGGGATGATTTATTTTTAGGTGACTTGGACGAGGAGCAGTGGGCGGCCCTTGTCATCGAAGAGACAGATACCCCCGCCCAGTTTCGGATTTCTGCGTTCCATATTTTAGGTGATCAAGAAAATAGCAAAACCTCAATACATAATTCCATTCCTTTCCTCTATCTTTCCGCCTGCGAGTCTCCAGTGGTCCGGTCTTATTTTTCATCCATTAATTTATTCGATGGCGTGGCAGATTCACCAGTTCCGATTTTTGCTGCCACAAAGAAAAAGTATAAACCAGTCGCCAAGAAGGTCCGAGCAGTCCCTGCGACGTTGCCCAAGGAGTATAGAATCCAGCGCAATATTGTAGGAGATCCGCTGGCCAACATGCCGATTTTATCCCCAATTCCCCCTTCCTTCCAGCCAACCAGACGATATTCACAAGAGCGTAGGGATGCGCTACACAAGGCCCATCCTAGTGGATTCCTTACAGAAGCGGAGCTAAATCTAATGGACGAGTTTATGTGCAAGCATGACCAGGCATTTGCCTGGAATGACTCGGAGCGTGGCCGATTTTGCAAGGACTTCTTTCCTCCCATCGAATTCCCAGTACTCCCTCATACGCCGTGGATCCAGAAGAATATTCCCATTCCGCCTGGTATCTACAACGAAGTCTGCGCAGTAATTAAAAAGAAGATTGCGGCGGGTGTTTATGAGCCGTCTAATGCTTCTTACCGCTCCAGATGGTTCTGCGTACTCAAGAAGGATGGGAAGTCGCTCCGGCTCGTTCATAGCTTGGAACCGCTCAATGCCATTATGATTCAACACTCCAGCGTCCCTCCGATCCCTGAACACATGGCGGAGCAATTCGCGGGACGCGCCTGTGGCGCTATGTTGGATTTATATGTGGGATATGACGAGCGAGAAATTGCAGAGTCATCCAGGGACCTTACTACTTTCCAGACACCCTTCGGAGCGATGCGACTAGTCACCCTTCCCATGGGATGGAGTAATTCCGTGCCCATATTTCACGACGATGTGACCGCTATCCTCCAGCCCGAGATACCAGACGTTACAATTCCCTATATCGATGATGTGCCAGTCAAAGGACCTCCGAGCCGTTACATCCAAGCAGACGGTACCTATGAGACGATCCCAGAAAATTCAGGCATCCGTCGCTTCGTGTGGGAACACTTCCAGAACCTCAACCGCGTCGTACAGCGAATGAAGTACTGTGGGGGAACATTTTCGGGCTTAAAGCTCACCCTCTGCGGTCCGGAGATTGTAGTTATCGGACACCGCTGTACCTACGAAGGCCGGATCCCTGATGAATCGCGCGTGGAGGTCATCCGTAATTGGGGACCCTGTAAGTCGCTTTCTGAGGTTCGCGCTTTTCTAGGGACGGTCGGAGTCCTCCGTATTTTCATCCGGAACTTCGCACATCGCGCCAATGCTTTAGTCCAGCTTACTCGTAAAGGTGTACCGTTTGAATGGGGTCCGGAGCAAAGTCTAGCACAGGAGGACCTTAAGCAGGCCGTCCTAGACTCGCTGGCGTTGCGTCCCATTGATTACACGTCGGAGTCCCCAGTCATCCTTGCTGTGGATACCTCCTATCTCGCTGTAGGGTATTACCTCTGCCAACAGGACAGTGAAAATTCCAAGCGTCGATTTTATAGTCGATTTGGCTCCATCACCCTCAATGACCGCGAGCGACGGTTCTCCCAGCCCAAACTCGAGATCTATGGCCTGTTTCGCAGTCTCCGAGCACTCCGTCTTTATCTCCTAGGGGTCCGAAATTTAATCATCGAAGTGGACGCACGTTACATCAAGGGGATGCTTCAGAACCCAGATATAGCTCCGTCAGCGAGTATCAACCGATGGATCGTGTCCATTTTGACATTTCATTTTACCTTGGTACAT